TTGCGAAGTCTCTGGTTGAACAGCGTTGTCTTGCGCAGAGGTCTCGGCGGTGGCGTCAGAATTTGTTCGCTACATTTTCGGTCAGGAGACTTTGAACAGAACCTTCAGGTTAGTCGGAGTCTGGGCGTAGCTGTGAGGCGAATTACTCTGGGTCGGCGGCAATTCCGGGGCGTACTCGTAAAGAGGAATTCCAGAGTTCCGTGTCCTTAAGGCCCTGTCACACTGAGGCAACACGACGGCAACAGCAACACAACACGTTGTCCGACAGTCGGGCAACTTGTTGCTCGCTCCCCGTGTTGTCCGACAAAGCTGTCACACCGCGGCAACAGCTTTCGGCAACAAAAACAGCAGCAACTTGTGTTGGACAACGAGTGTTGCCCTGATCGCTGGCTGAGCGAATTTCGGGCCGGCAACACGACAACATAGATAGATTCGATGGTAGAGTTAGTCCCCTATCAATAAAGTCTTACTCAAATAAAGGCTTGGAAAACGTTATTTAACAATAATTAGGGCTGGCGTGCAGCTAAAATATTTTCGATTAATGTTTTGGTTGCGTAGTTACGGAAAGCAATTTTCGAAATGGTCACAGCTACGGTCGTGAACGTTCAGACTGGTTTTGAAATTAGAACTCCCGAGAGACCAGCACACATTACGGATAGTGAAATAAAATGGCATGCCTACCCACCCACTAATAAAGTATAATAAAAATAACTCAGAGAACCTAAGATTAAAAAATCGAAGCATAAAACGACCACTCTGATCATGATTGTTGATGCTTGGAACTTGGAAACAGCCGCTACCAGACACCTGATTTGTTTTAAAAATACCCAGGACGTTTTGGGGGAATGAAGCGATCACGTAGCAGCGGTAGGCCAGTAGACAGCGTTGAAAAATATTTATTTCACCGATTGTTATGAAGGCCGATGGTGTCGGTGTCGCAGTTTTGAAGCACTGTCAGTTCAGCTCAACACCACGTTACAAAAGACGCTTTGGGGTACTTCCGGTGCTAACGCAATTTTACAGTAGAAGTAGGAATTGCATGAAAGAACCGGACAGAATCACTTCATACGGTGGCGTAAATCCCAAAAATACATCAGCGATGCCACTTTCCTCGGTTAGGGCTATCTGCTTTTTCAGCGAATGAAGAACATTTCGATAAAATAAAGAGCGAAAAATACTCCCTGTGTCAAGTTTTCTAATTATAGCCACTGGTTGATGTCGTACCGTGGTAATTCCCGGCCCTTCGAACGCACTAGCACTTTGTAGAGTCACATTTCCAGCGATTCCGCGCCGCACACGAAGGTAAACAATCAAGATGGCGGAGTATTCCCCGTGTTGTCCTCGCCGTCAGCGCGGTGTGACTGGGTTGTCGGACAACAAATCGGGCAACACTGTTGCCGGGCGGCAGCAACATGTTGCCCGACTGTTGTTGTTGCCTCGATGTGACAGGGTTGCCGGCAACACGACTTCCCCGTGTTGCCGGATAGAGTTGTCCAACTGTTGCCTCAGTGTGACAGGGCCTTTAGGAGCATCTCCCGTTCTGTTGGTGTGAGGTTACTGAACGGGAGCCCGAATTCGCTCGCGAGAGCGGCATTGCCGTCCATGTTGGTCCGACGAAACGACCGCGCCACCGCGCTGCTATAACCCACCGCGATAACCAGAGTCTCGACGCCCTAAATGCTACCGGTACCGACAATTCACATGTGACGTCACTCGCTACGTCACCTCCGTTTTCGGAGGCCCAAAAACGAGAAACGCAGATAGTTCAGTTTCGGTTTCTTCAGTTCTTTCGTAGGTACAGAAATACGCGTCACAAATGTCTATAAAAAATTGGGCAGTATGCGAGGCTCCCAAGAAGCCTAAAAACACCATTTTAAAAAAAATTTAATAAAATCGCCTTCATTGTCCCTTTAAGCGTGGCTACCACTTCAATGAGATAGAAAATTTAGACATAGCCTGTCACTCACCACGCGACATTCGAGACACTAATGCTTCGGTAACTTATTCGCAAGGTAAGAACACGTAAGCTATAATTATAATGCAATTAAATGCAAAGGGGCAAGCGAGCTGGACAATAATGATGAAAATAATCCCTGGAGAAGGGGAACAAGAGGGACAAGGGACAAACATAAATCTCCAAACACAGCTAGGTGGCTGGTGAGCGACCGAAAAAATCCGCCTGGTCCGGGTATCGAACCCGGGACCTCTCCATTACAAGTGGAGAGCTATGTAAACCGAGGGGATCGGTGGCCGAGTGGGCCGTCGTTGTACACTAAGTACGAAACGGAGTATAGACGATTGCAAGCAAGGCGAATGGCCGCCGTCATGTCTTTGCTCGTGCGGACAAGCCCGTGCTATTTCAGGCTTGCGAAAGCTCTGTTCACTCGCAAGCTGCAATACGGGCCTTACCGTGCGGGGCACCATTCTGGACGCCATACTTGCAATTGTCTATTGACCTCGTTTTTATTTTTTTTTATCGCCCCCTTGCAGTGAAGCCTGTCTTTCTTCGTATCTTCTAAGCACGGCACTCTTCCCGACTCGAAGACGCGCTCATTGTTTTGAAACGGCTCGCTCCTCTCTATTGTATACGCCAGTTTTAGAGCAGCTCGGAGCCGCCGCCCGCGAGGATCGCATTGTACGGGCCGTCAGGTTTACCAGCGACAGCAAGAGCGCCTGTATGGTATATTCGGGAGTAATCGATGTATCTTCGCACACGTCGTCAAACTGCTCGATTCGGAGTCCGCAGAATTTCAACTCGACAACCTTTCTCGCGGACGGATGATGGTCCCATTTCAAAAATGCGTCTCGTGATTGCGTAATCCCTGGAGGCGCATTTCTATATGTCGATCAACTGAAAAGTAGAGGTGTGCGAAAGCTCTGGAATCTAGCCTTCTGCAGTAGGAGAGGAGACTGCATATGTTCCGTTCACTCGTAAGCCGACAGTGTGGTTAGCTCAGGATTGGTCCAAACGAGCTACGTGCTCGTTTAAACCAATTGTACATCTGCTTTTTTTTTTTTTTTTTTACGCGATCACGCTTTTGCCCATATTCCCGCGCAGAGAGACAGGTTAGTAAGTGATGAGCCCCCACCGCACTGTCAGCTCCGCTTTCCTTTCTATACGAAACGAAGGCACGAACCGCGGTAAAAAAAAAGCGAACCAAACGGTCCCCTGAAAGTTGTACGCGCTACGTGACACGGTTGACACGTTTGGATCCTTGCTGTCACTCCGCCCCCCAAGATTAGGGTTCTTCGCCGTAAAGGTGTAAATGCGGAGTCTTCAAATCGTATCACGGAGTAGCGAGACGGCGGATGCTGCGGATTCGTGTTAGCCAATTCCAGCGTTCCACGCGTGCCACGCGACTTCACGCTCCGCGCACACTCACTCCGCCCAGCAGAATGGTCACGTGATACACTGCGAGTTGGGGGATTGGACCTCCGGTGACTCGCAGTGTCCGTTGCGGGGCATCGTTAGGACGCTTTCCGTGCGCATGGAAATGCGAGCCGTTGGCACCGCGCTTCTCCTGCCCCGTCGGGGAGCATTGCCGCCGACGACGAAGCCGCTCGAAGCGCCTGGGCGTTAACGACGGTCGCCTGGGTCTACAAGGGCGATGACCTCCGACGCGTGATGGCGTGCCTGGAGTGCGCCATCCGGACTCGAGAGCAGTTACGGCGGCGCCTATGCAGATCCGCCCCTGAGGCGTCGAAAGTCTCGGGGAGGGGGGTTTACTCTATTTGGCCGCCTGCCCGCCCGTCGCGAGTGGCTTGCATTAAATGTCTCTTCGAATTGCCGCGATAAAAAATACCGTCGCCCTTGAATGGTTAGTGGCGCGGTGAAGTGACAAAGCTGTCTCGGCGAGACAAAGGAGCGAAGCGTGACGAACGTAAAGTGGGGCTTCTTAGGATCCTCAAACAATGAGGGAAGGAACGAACGAGTATACGTTTGCGTCGAGGAAAACCGCCGTCAAATTGTTGACGCTCGAGTCGGGTAGAGAATAGGTAACCCGTAACTCTAATGAGGTACGTGCTGTGCTGCAGTGATTCCGATTGTGTAGAACATATACTTCTGGAACTGCATTAAATTTTAATTGCATTTCATAAGTCATTTTTGGCCAGGTACACCGTCAAATTTTCGCCAAGTCACGTGTCCTTTTTACGGCATCGTCGCGGGTGGCGCCGATGTCGCCCAGGCTGCCAGCAATTCCTAGACAAGAGGTCTAGTGAGTCGAGAGATCCAACGAGTCAAGAAGGTTCAGTATTCGACCTCTTGGTTTTTTGGATTTCTTAACCCTCACTGGATCTCTTGTCTCTCGTTGGATCTCTTGGCCCTCATTGTGTCTTGACAAGTTGTATGGGACACGCAAAGCCCCGTTATCCCTCAAAAGTCGTCCAAGAGATGACATACCGCAGTGCGTCAACAACACGGAAATAACATTTAAAAGAAGTTCAGGGTCATTTATGGTGTACTTAAAAAATCGCGATTGGAAGCTCGAAATGCCGTCTTACAGCAAACGTTTATTGTTGTTTTCTCCCCCTTTTCTAGAAGTAAAAACGAAAAAAAAAAAGCACTTCCGAAAAAAAAAATTTTTTCCGACTCCTCGCCCATATCTAATAGTGAACTTGTCTCGGGTTAACGAAGTCTTCTGTGGTGTTGACTTTTAATCAGCCACACACTTCTTCACTCGTTGAACTTCCTTCTTGACGCCTTGGGTCTCTGAACTCGGTTGATCTCTTCTTTTGATCTCTTCGCGCATTTTGGAACTCTCGGCTCGATGGATCTCTTGACTCGGAATTATCACGTGATTGTTGGATCTCTTGATTCGATAAACCTTGACCCATATCTTTTGACGCGTTGGATCTATCGACGCGCTTAATCTCTTGACTCGGCTGTCACGTGATTGTGGGATCTCTTAACTTGTTAGACCTTTTTGCCAGAAACGGTTCCAAGTAGTGTCCTGATGTTCCTCGTCTGACCTTCACCTTCTTTTCTTTTTTTCTCGCAGGTGCCCGAGCAGCTCCGCCGGAAGCAGAGGTCCCCCGGCCGCGTTCTCCGAGCGATGCATCGAACCAAAGTATTACACTCGAGTCTGTAAATAACTCCGCGAGGCAACTCGTTTTCTCTCCTTTTTCTTTGGCCCCTATACCTTCGTTTACACTTCTCAAGACTCATGCCCTGTGTACAGTAAAAAAAACTCTCACGTGAATCCGTGTCTTCGGTGTTCCCCGCCGCCTGCTGCCCCGGTTATACACCCATTGTGTCGTTGTCTGATCCGTACTTCCTAGAAGACAAGACCCGTGCATGACACCATCCTTCGAGGCTTCTCGTACCCGCCCCAAGAGGCAAACAAGCTGAAGATCGGCAAGAGAGCCTTCAAGGGGGCTTTAAAGGCCTTTTTCAGGCAGAAGGTCTTTATGGATCCGGCGTATACCGAGGGTCACCCGCAGAGTCGGGATCGCGAGCTGACGCGCCGATTGTGTAAATGCCTTTTTTTTTTTCGAGGGCCTTTTAAGTGCACGCCAAACAGGGACGTTCTTGTCCTGGTGTCTACGTACGCCCTTTCATTTTGTGGGCCACATTTGAAGGTACGAATATGGAGTTTAGTGGATCGTTGCTGCATTCCGATAATGATAAAAATAGCGGAAGACGATAGAGGTGAGATGGCTAACTTTTGACATCGTGATAACTCAAGGAACGAGGAGAGGGGACTGTCCACCCCCCTCCCCCCCCATACACACACGCACACTTTTTTATTTATTTTTTCCCTCGGTCTCGAGTTGTTTTTAGGCTGCCGATACACGGTACTCCGCCGGCGCCTTTGCGTCTGCATCGCGTAGTCTTTGGGTATCGTTATCGGAGCGCAAAAACGTCCTCCTCAGCCACCGAACCACACTCGCTCACTCCTCGTTTCTCAGCCGATTCAGTGACGACGCACCCCTTCCCGATTGGAGCAGTAGAACGGGTGCGTGCAGTACTGACTGCGGAAGAGAGTCGCTCGGTCTTGCAGCCGCACCAGGCGCACTATTATTGGTACGGGGGCTTCATAACAGTCGACAGTGCTAACGCAGCCGAAGAACCTCCAAGGAGTCGGAAAACTGAGCCGTCGAAGCGACAAAGATTCGCCTCTCTATTGCCGTTTACGTATACCTAAACGATGGCGCACTTGACGTCTGACGAAGGCCCGAAAGGTAGGTCCTCCTCCCCGTCGACAGCGCGTTCTCCGGCAGCACGAGGGACCGTCTTCGGAGACGGCCGTCTGTCCGTCCACAGGCGAGTTCCTGGCGAGAGGAGGTCTCCATTACTCCCGGTTTGGAATGGCGAAGCGAGACGAAGCCCCCGGCGTGTGCCAGCTGAACTACGCTGTCCGAACTCTCTCCGGTGTGCAATGGAACCGGAGGTATTGATGTGCGCCGATCACACGCACGTTGCGCGGGCTGTCAAAGCTGTCAGCGGCCGGTCGGGGGGTCTTCTAGTCTCCTCGTGTGATCCGCGCTGGTGCAGAAGCGAGGCTGCGAGCGGGATGGCCTCCGTGGCCGCGTCTCTTGAAGGGCTTCGGGGCCCGATTCCATCTGGGTTTGGAGTTTTTGTCGCAAAGGATAATGCGGAACTGGAGCACGGCAAAACGTGTAAGTACTGACATGGGTGCTCCCGAGAGAAAGAACGAAAAGGAGGTCGCCACGCAATTTCTATTTGTTTTGTTTTGCATTTCAATAGTTTAGGCATTTCAGTGAAGTTAACAATACGAGGGAAGTGGTATAATGATCTCCCCCGACATCCACCGTCCACCATAGTCCCAGTTCGCCTCTGTGTGTGAACAGTTACGACGCCCCTGAGGGGGGATAAACGTAGCAGGCGCGATGTTAGCCATGTTCGTGTTGCCGAGGAGCATGGAAAAAAAAAAAGTAAGTTAATACAGCCGGAAGGTAGTTTGCCTCGATGTGCGTCTGGTGACAGCTGCAGATGATAAATTAAGCCTATTTGAAAAATTCTCAAGCACCAAAACCACGTGCTGGAATTCTGCTTAGCTATACGGGCTGCACTCGCTCCCCTTGCGTGTAGGACGAATAGTTTATTCCGCTTTTTTTGTTTTTCCAATTCTAGAACGTTTCTTTCGAGCTTTTGTTCTTTATACTCCGGAAAGTCTGTTGTCAGTACCAGACAACGACAGTAAGTCTCGCTAAAATCGACTAAAAGTTTTTTTAATCATTATTCTTGTATATAATCGCAGTGAAAAAAACGGTCTATTAGTACTTATTTTCGTTTCGTTTCGGTTTCACTTGGTTAACTGCGGTTTCCACATGGCCAACTTGCATTTGAGTACGTTCAACGACTGGCCTCCGGCAGTCTTTTATGACTGCCGCATCAACGGAGGGAAAAAAAAAATGAAGTAAACGCGAGCTCTCAATCTCTCGCTCTCGTGCGCGAGAGAGACATTTTCGTGTCTTTTTCTTTCATACATTCTTGTTAGCTTCGCCGGCCGGAAATCTCGTTTCTCGTTGCCATCCGGCGACGCAGTTGGCAGCGACGTCTGCTCTCACGACGGTCGGCTCGGTTTTCTCTCGTTGTGTTCGGACGTCAACGTGCATATCTAAAAAAGGCACGAGCAACCGCATCGCGACGATGTCTTTAGATCGGGCAGTGGAGTAGCGACACGGCTGGCGTGCCGGAAACTGACTGCGGCGAGCCGTAGCGGCAACCTGACCCCCATCCGTCATGGGCTCTACATTCCACATCCACCTTTTTTTTTTTACACATTTTATCCGGATGTGCACCCCGTTTCCAGACTACAAATATTAATAAGAGCTGCGTCGACCAAAAAGAACATCAGGGTCGAAAGGCTGACAGAATTTCTTTATTTATTTCCCAAACCTGCAGCCTCGAAGGGTTCTATGAGCTGGAGTCCCAAAAGCGAGACGGTTGCGCGAAATACGTAGGTAATGAAAGTACTGCCGAACGCACACGCAGGAGATGTTTAAAGCGAGCAAAGCTGAAAGTCAGAATCACTTTCTGTAAAGGAACGGTTCCACCGTATTACTTGTCGAGGATGACTCCCTCAGCGCATCCTGCTTAGAGATTGTCCGACGGGAAAATGAATAGGGAGTTTTAGCGAGTCGTTTCCACGCGAACGGTTCGTCCTCGAACGGATCGACGACGCCACTGCGCATGCGCACGCGAGTCTTTGAGGGCCTGGGAGGTTCTCACTTGTGGCTCCCATTCTGGCTGCTGGGGTCGTCACCGGAACCCAGCCAGCACCGTTCACGACTCGGTCAAAAAACATTTCGGTCGGTTTGGTGACTGACTCCGCCGACTCAGCCGAGCGTTAGACTTAGAACAGCGGGAAACGATGTGGCCATTCTGTTACTCTGCTTTATTTGAGGGGTTGAATCAAATCATTTCGATGTCTGCTCACAATGGTAAGTAATCGTGAATGCTGTAAACTACGCAAGCTAGTGAAGTTTTGCCATCTGCGGGCCGACTAGCTGCCGTGGCGACCGCGAGCAGACGAAACGATTTGGTTCGACGGCACACAACATGAATGATAGCTGAATTTTACGGGTTTCCCCAGGAATTGAAGTTGGGGGGGGGGGGGGGGGGGGGGGGGGAAGGGGGGGTAAATCTTTCTTTCAGAAAAACAAGGGGGGGGGGGGGGGGTGTAGGGAAATCACTGCTCAAGTTCAAGATGACGGAGACACATCACCTACCTCTGCTATCGTGGGACTTTTTAGTCTATCTAGAGTCACAGGTCTTGAAACTCTGACCGGCAAATGTTAGGTCAGCCATCTTGTCTACATCAGTCATACGCCGGCAACACGAGGCGCCAAGGATTTGTACGCTCTAGAATGTTTCACATGTTTACTAGAAGATGGCGCTGCCGGTCAAACACAATCATCATCATCGTTTTCACGGTTGCGCCAGTTTTACGATTTGCTAAATTATGTTAAATTCCACGTACTGTTTCACGGAACGGACCACCTGCACCGCTCATGATTTCGGAACCGCGTGCTCCAAAGACGACTCGCTAAAACTCCCTAATATCGCGTGAGGTCATTCCGGTAGAATATTGTGTGGGGCTTCATTTAATGGTCCACGGGAGTCGAGACATAGCTCGATAATTACTTTCGTAAATTTCCGCAACGTTATTCAAAACAGCAAAAATGAACTTCAGGCGAGCCCTTTATCCAGCCTAACAATGGTTCCCAATCAATCGCATTTTTATTTTCTATTACGCTGAAATATTTATAATATACATTTCTCGATACAAGCCTTGCGACACGGTTTTTGAAGTTCTCCTTGCCTATCTAAACAATGCCTTCGGTGCAGATTCCACAGAACAGGCCATTCGGGTGTAAGCGTTTCCAAGCAGCAAGAAACTTTCCCTCTTTTTTTCCCTGTTTTATCCTTTAGCAACACTACCTTGCTTTAAATAAATTTCAACAACGCGGAACTAGCATTTTGCATAGTCTAGGTCTAGTCAACCTTAGATGACAGTTTTTGGCAAAGGGATTTCCAGATGATTTAAATGTTTTATTTTTTACTACTTTAATTATTATCAATGATATAGCACGACGAAACAAAATAATACTTTCTTTTATTTTTCAACAAACTCAATGTTGGAAGAGTCAAGGAAAAAATTCCTGTATACAAACAGCTGGACTGATATTATCAGCCTTTAGTCCTAGTTCACACACCTTACACCACTCAGAGGTTCCATCTACTTCGACAACCTTCGCAGAGGATGCACGCGTACTGAGAGGTGCATCCGACAGATGGCGCAACCGAGACACGAAATGCTGCGTTGAACGCTCTTTGTAATAGGCCAAACAATAGGTTTGCACGCCCTATTGGAAAAACCAGCATGAAAATCAAACTGGTCAAGCTGGTAATTAAGGTGGTCAAGCTGGTAATCAAGGTGGTCAAACTGGTCAATGTGGTAATTAAACTGGTTTAGCTGGCAATCAAGCTGGTTTAAGCTGGGCAAGCTGGAATTTAAGCTGGTCAGTCTGGTCTAAGTAAAAACCAGCATGGTCTCACTCGAATCTGGTTTTAGATTCAATCTGGTGTAGCTGGGAGCCAGTCTGGTCTTAACTGGTCAAACTGGTTTTCCATGGAGCCAATGTGGTCAAGCTGGGAGACGAGCTGGTCATGCTGGGAGACAAGCTGGTGAATCTGGTCGAAATAATAATCGTGGTGGTCAAGCTGGTCATG